AGAATACATGTATCCAGCAGACACACACACACACACACACACGCACACACGCACATAAACACATAAACACATGTGTCTAGGTGCATGTACATGCACAAACATTTGGACATGCACATACCATGTGTATGTGTATGTCGCCGACCTATTGCAGCGGCTTGCAATTGTTTTCTCGAGGAGGTCTTGGACATCACAGACTGGGTACATCACACGCAGGCGCATTGAGCCCAGGGGAGCGGGAGATCCTCTAGAGGATCTCAAGATCCATGCTGAGCACCACCGTAATGGCTTCTGACCATCCATGGGCCCCCTTGGCTCCCAGAGGTGGTCCCCATCCTTGTGCTCACTTTTATGTATATGTTACATTCTGGACAACATTGAAGTCCAAGGGGGGGAGTTGTAAAAGTTTATCATTGTGATAGAGGATTGGTGGTTGTGATGTCGCAGGCTCAATTCCCACTCAGCACATTATGATGACACTTCAAATCCATGGGATGAACCTTGCTGTCATTGAATCCAAGCCAAAACAGAGTACAACTTGTACAGTACAAGACATGTGCCAGAGCATATCTGAAGTGGGCTCCAGGAAAGAAGGGATGGTAGACAACGCCAAAATCACATGCTCAAAGTCGGTTTCAGAACAGACAGGCAATACATATAGGGATTCAAAAACTCTACACATCTCTAGATAGGGGCTGCATACACATATATAACATAACACAATTCTGAAGATAATTAGCTGTCCTCGACACTTTCATCCCTTATTGCATGTTGGGCGATATTCATGGCCATTATTATTGTTACATTATGCCATAGGTTCATCCTTAGGGCAAAGGCTCTACTCGGTCGCCGTAGCTCATATGTTATGAGCGGAGGCCTATCCCGAGTTCGATCGCCGTAGCTCATATGTTATGAGCGGAGGCCTATCCGGAGTTCGCTGTCCGGTTGTCCGGTTGTCTGTCCGGAGCGTTTTGGAAATTCCGGGTCGGGAGCGTGCCGTACGCGCTTAAGACCGCGCCAAAAAGAATGGGAGGTCGCCGGTTCGATCCCGAGCAAAGTAATGTTTTATGTTTCATATTTGCGTTTTTGCATATATGCATATGTGCGATATTATGTAATGTAATATGCGATATGCAGCGATATGCGATATGCAATGATATGCGATATGTATGCAACGATGTGTGTGCTATGCGATATGCAGCGTTGTGCGATATGTATGTGTATGCAGCGATATGCCATATGTATGCAGCGATATGCGATATGTATGCAGCGATATGCGATATGTATGTGTATGCAGCAATATGCGTTATGTATGCAGCGATATGCAATATGCAGCGATATGTGATATGCAGCGATATGCGATATGCAGCGATATGTGATATGCTGTGATATGCGATATGCGATATGCGATATGTGGTATGCAATATGCATTATGCATTATGCAAGGTGCAATATGTTTTAATGTTATATATATGCGATATCATATGCAAGCTTATGAGACCTGCAAGCATATGCGATCTCATATGCAAGCATATGCGATCTGCAAGCATATGTGATCTCATATGCAAGCATTTGCGATCTACAAGCATATGCGATCTGCAAGCATATGCGATCTGCAAGCATATGCTATGCTATGCTATGCTATGCTATGCTGTGCTATGCTATGCTATGCTATGCTATGCTATGCTATGCTATGCTATGCTATGCTATGCTATGCTATGCTATGCTATGCTATGCTATGCTATGCTATGCTATGCTATGCTATCTGCAAGCATATGCAGTATGCAAGCATATGTGATCTGCAAGCATATGCGATGTGCAAGCATATGCAATCTGCAAGCATATGCGCTCTGCAAGCATATGGGATATGCAAGCGTATGCGATCTGCAAGCATGTGCGATGTGCAAGCATATGCGATGTGCAAGCATATGTGCTCTGCAAGCATATGTGATCCGCAAGCATATGCGATCTGCAAGCATATGCGATGTGCAAGCATATGCGTTCAGTAACAAAAACAAGAAAGCATGAA